ATTTATCAAAAAATCACATATTATGTTCATTGAAACATTCATTATCAACTGAAAAAGTACTCCACAAGCAATGATTTCCAAAGACAACAAAGAAGGATGGTGCAGATTCAACCACGTCCGTCCCGACGATCACAACTGAACATGTGACTAAATTTGCCTTCTCAACATTAAATACAACATAAGAAAAGGCTAGAGTCCCTCTGCTCGGCGAGACTGACGTGGGGGGGTTAGATAAGAAAAACAAAACAGATACTTTTCTGATGGCCCTCAATTTTAAGTATTTTTTTGGGCTTTGTTTTTTTATTTATAGCAAGACAGCTGTAAGAGCAGGAAAAGTGGACTGGAGAGAGAGGGATGACCATCGCAGGCAAAGGGCTCAGCAAGGTACGGATTCCCCAACCGCGGCCTTCTGCAAGCAACTCCTATAGTGGAGTCACAAGCTCTACTGACTGAAGCCTAACTGGGCGCGAAAGGGGTAAATCTGATTTTACTAAACAGTTTGCACTTGTTATTACTAGGAAGTAAACAAGTAAACATATTGGCATACATCTAACAACTGCATTTTTGGCTACAGCCAAGTAGGAAGTTCAGGGACGGACTGTGACAAAAAGCGGGGCCATGACCTTCTTGACTAGGCCCGGCCCATAAGCAATCGCGCGCCGGAAACTCAAAAACAACAAGCAATAACGGCCTGGCATGAGTGTCAGCATAAGATGATTAATATTAAAAATAATAATTCAAAGAAAATAATTAACAGCATTGCTATCTAAAATTAATTTATTACATTAATAATGCTAATTAAATATGCAGTAAATTAAATCTTACCACACAAATAATAATTACCAACATTTATGAAAGATAAGCACCATTAAATGTAACGTTCTGTATTCAAAGTTTCAAAGTCTTGTAGCATTAAGCTGGAACGTTCAACAACATAAAGAAGAAAGCCAATATTTCTTAATATTAGCTACACTGGCATGTGGCCATTTTACAGTAAAAAATGTTTAAGTTTAGCCGTTTAAGACTACGTAATCATATTTCAATTTCATTTTTGCAATTGTACTGAGCAACAAACTGGGTATAGAATAAAATGTAGCAACCTGCAAATAAACATTTCTAACAGTCAGGCCAGCAAGTAACTCTTTTTCCTCTCATCATGTTAAAAGGAGTTCGGTCTAGACGCTGCTCTAATTGAAAAGTTCCTGATGATAACTCTGTTGTATGAATGTGGCGCTCATGACAAACTAAAATTAGAATTGAATTGAATGTTCCAAACCTTAGAACTTGCCCCTGTATCGTGTGGAACCAGCCTCCCTCTCCTGCCCCTCGATCATCAGCAGGGGCCTATCATGGTCTGAGGCTGCCACAGCTGTCTAGGCTGCAACTTCTTCACTCAATTGATGACTGCTGAATTTAAACTGAACGATTGTGCCTCCCAAGATGGTGCTGACTGCTGCGCTGTGCTGCTGAAATTTCAGTTAGTTTGCGCAACAATTTAGGCACGGCTTCACTCCCTCAAAAATGTACTTTTTTTTTTTTCCTCGCTTCCAGCCCCGCCCCTTTTCTTCTCCGTGTTTTTACCGGCGTTATCCATATTGTATCTATGGTCTGGAACATCCTTTGCTGCTGCATACTACTTCTTCTTCTTCCCACGGCCGGCGGCGCTGGCGCCATCCCAGACTTAAAGGTG